CCTCCAAAGGGGGGCATAGAAGAAATAATGTTGTTAACAGTCTTCAAAGATACCCCATAACATACTTTTTGCTCATATTCATTGCAGTTTATTATAGTTTATCTGGTTATGCATATCAAGATACCTAAATTTCTTATCAGATTCATCAAAGTAAGCTCCATTTATAAGTGCTGCTCTGCTATTGAGAGTTTAGTGAGGTAGCTAGCGAGAGAAAGGGGTACTTTATGTAATATTGAGGGGAAAAACCTGACACATTTTTGGTGCTGTTAAAATGTTGAAGTTTGGGATTTCTTTGCTCTCCATTCACCACTAAGAAAATTCTCCATATTCTTTTTTGAAAAATTGCATGCTGGGGAGACCTCATCTGTATTCTCAAACAGCTGGGTAATAACAGCATCGTTTTCTCTTTGGTCATTTTGGGTCATTTCAGTTGACATTGACTTGTGAGAGAGAAGGGATGTATTCCAAATCAGGCATTGGCTGCTTGAAATATATTACATACAAATAATTTCAGTGGCTTTCCTTTTATAAATAGTGATACCTTACTAGTAGTATAATTAATCGAGTTCATTCGTTTACAGTAACATTTCTACCCTCTGCAAAACTATTCCCTATTGTTTGTTCTTTCTTACTTACTGTCTCTACCTAATAAGTTTCAACTTTTTTAATTTTGAGCATTGTTCCAAAGTGAAATGATTGAGCTGTAACTCCACAACCATTATTTTAATTGATACTCCTTTAATTGAACCTAATTTCTGGGCATTCATAAGGAATTAAACAGAACAGTGAAACAGAATATGATTTTACATCATGTGGAATACTTTATACAAATCCTTCCTCCCTTTATACTTCTTTTTATCATAAGAATTGGTAGTCTTTTCCATCTCTGGAGCTCTAATTCTTCCCATAATGCATGAACACAACTGTGTGCAGACTGAAAAATAACTATCCAAAGCTGAAGTGTGAAATAGCAGTGGAAAACTGGAGCATGTGAAATGATCAGGGGGATCTCTACTGCCAAGATGAGCACATGTATGGTTTTGCACCAAAGTCATAAGATTGAGGTATGGATGTAAAGAACATACTAGCGTACCATTTAGACTGCTTGTGAAGGATCATCATGCAAGACATCAGGTTCAGATGGAACAGAAACAATGAAAGCAATGCAAGTGATCAAGTAATTTTAGAATTCATAAGGAGAAGATCTAGACTTTGAAAGTATGCAATAATTCAAATTTCAGACTATTCTTACGTTTTGAGAAATGGTTTTTTTATGATGGAAATTTTTTGTGTGGGGGTTTTTTGTGTGTGTGTTTTAACGTAAAGAGCAAAATTTGGAATATGTAAAATTAAAGAAGTGGAAAATGTTCTGATAGTTTCAGATTAGAATAAAATTAAATATTTTGAAGACCAGTGTCAATTGGCAAAATTAAGCTCTTCTACTGTTTCCCCATTTAGAGCTTAAATATTTTGTATTATTATGTTACTCAGCTTCTAATTAATCTAACTTAATTAACACTTGAACTAGAGTACAAAATTTTTGATGTATCACATGCTTTGAGATTAATGTTTTGACACATATCATTGAAATTATATAGTCCTTTGATGTTGAAATGGAATTTGTTTTCTTTGAAGAAATAATTCATACTTCTGTTGTTTCCACTTGCAAATTTATTTTGTGCCTTTAGCTGCAAAATAAGGTGTGTTTTCAATGTGGACCTATTACTGAATAAGGCAAAGTTTAAAATACTTAATTTGTATACAAAGAGCTAACCCAGATTTTTAGAAAGATTTTCCAACTGAAGTTACCCTTCTTCGATTCCTTTTTTCATCTGCACCCTGCCTTCCTTGCCAGCCTGTAACACTGTTTCATCAGGCCTGTGTTCAGTCCTAGGCAGATCTAGGGGAAAGCATCTCCTGCGTTTGTCCTGGTTTTATTCTTCTGCAGGTGTTGCCTTATGGCTGCTGTTGCTATCAGTCTTCCCTCTTAGACAAGGATTTCAACCCTCCTCTGATAAAACCTTACAAAAGTAGTCTTTCTTTAATAGGAGGTAGAGATGAGACACCAAAGGGAATGAAAGGGAGTAGATACTGGATAGTTACCCCAAGACTACAAAGGAATGAAAGGAGGATGGAGCCCAAAGCAAAAATGTGAGAGTGTTGAAATGGCACAGTAGTCACTGCTCATTCATTCCTGGAGGCATCCAAGAACTTGTAGGAACTCGTTGAGGGGCCCAGGGACAGAAAGGTACTAGAATTTCTGTAGTGCCTACCAGCATTATAATCCCACCTCAGAGATGGAACTCCTGGAGCCATGAATAACAAGTTTGAAGGACTGTGACTAAAACACTAGGGAAGATTCTGGAGGATCCCATCTCCTTGTGTACTCCTCTGACAGAGAAAGGGCATAAATCTGAACAGCCAGTCATCATGTCCATGTCCATTACTCCATGGAGGTTTTCCCAATTTATGCTGCTGGGGAGGTGCAGAATTAGCTCAGGAAACAAGCTGTCCCCCAGGAGACAGTCTGCAACAGTAACTTGGCTTGATAGGCAGACTTGTAATTAACTTAAACTCATCAGGCTCTGATTTGATTAGCCAGCTTGACAGTGTGATGCCAGAGCTTAAAAAAACCCAAACAAACCACAACAAGCTAGCAAATGAAATCCTTGATAACTGGAATCTAAGACTCTGATTCCCACACAGTGGCATGTGACACATTACCTGGATCTTACAAGGCATTGCCTTGTTAAATGCTTATCTGTAGCCCTAACCTGAGTTGGAGGAAAGTTCTTTGTTTTTTTACTGTTGTTCTTTTTGTCTCTGTAGTAAAATTAGATGAAGTTACATTTCTGTATGTAATGAAACACTTCATATGGGAATATATTTTTTGTTTTCTTATATTTTAATCCTATATTTGTGCTATAGTTTTAGAGTAGGAGACAACATGTAAGAAGAGGCTACATTTACTTAAATCACAATTTACCTCTTATTATGCAAGGGATAAATAAATGTTTTGAAAACAGTAGGTTGAAGTACAGTTGCCAAAACCTAATTGTTCATCTTCTGCTGTTCTAGATTGAATATATCTTATTATATAATTGGTTACCTCTCCTTCTCCCCTCCTCTCCCTCCCCAAATCCCCTACTAATTTTTCTTTCTCTGTCCTGTAATAGACCCAAAATGCTTGATTAATGTTGATTGGGAGCAGATTAATTTAAATTTCAGGTATTCAGAAGTCAGTTTGGATTTTTGTCTGCCTATGACTACCTATTTGCTTTCAGTTGTATTTCTGTGGAAATTATTTACATTAATATTAAAGCTAGCAAACATTCGAGATTAACATTCAGAAGTTGTAAGAAAGATGAATCTAATCTTGTATGAAATTAGGCCAAGGTCTGCATAAATATTGAGTTAACACATAAGGGAAATTAATGCATTTTTAATTTTTTTCTTTTATTTCTTGGGTCATTCTGGAAAAGCAGAGTTTTATTACACTTAAAAGATTAGGAAGATAGAAAAAGAAATTTTACTCATGGGTCAATTTTTATTAAATGGGATATTCTGGGGTGGTTATAGTAAACAATGGACATAATGTAATACATGACAAAACAACTTCTCAAATTACAAATATCACTTAAATACGATCTAATAAATCACATGCGGAGTATATTTAAAGGAGTTAGTTTGGTACCAACAAATCAATATTATCAAACCAAATTTTTAAAGAAATGTACATGTCACAATGAGATGTGTTCTTTCTACTCTCTCGGTGCTTGTTTGGCTTTAGTAACATTCATTGCTTTCATGACTCTGAGTTTAGATTTACTGGCCTCTGAAAAATTTTGTCATTAGGTATTAGAGGTTATTACAGAGCACTAATACTTCTGTAGGTGGGCAATATGATGACAATGCTTCCAATAATGCTGCTTAACTTTAGAGGGAATTTATATTTTTTCATGTGTCTCAGAAACCTCATGTCGTGCTACTTTAAAGGGGGTCACTTTGACTGAAAATGTGCTTAAAAATATTTTCATTGATATGGAAAACTAACCTTATTTCTTGGCTGATTCTGCTAATGAACTCTCGTTTTGTATCTCTACCTGGATCCTATATTTGCTGTTGTGATATTTTTTATTTTTGAAGTACAGATGGTTTCTCCCCTAGTATACGTTTGCAATGTTTCCCATTGTGTAGTATTGTAACACCTCACCTTTCTAGCTATAGAAAACAATCTGGGAAGGACAGCATGGAGCTTTGTGTTGGCTTATTTATTTTCAACCTGTTCCTACATTTACTCCAAGTGCTGTTGGATTTGGACTGTGCCAGTCACTGATTCTTAATTTCTAATATTGTTGGCACAGAATAATGTGCCTGGTTAATTCAAATCTGACTGCTTTGAATGCAAATCAGAGAACCAAGTGGACTGATCAGAATTGATGATACATTTCTTCATAAATTTTCTTCATTCTATGCATCTGCTTATGCATATTTGGACCAAACTGGCAACTCTAAACATCTTATAAGAAAATATATGCTTATAAGTATCTACATTCAAGAGATCAGTAAAGGTTAGATACCATTCAAATGATCTATTTTGTAATTTCGCTTTGTTTTTCCTGATTAAAAATTGAGCTTTAAAACAATTCAGTATACCAAGATAACAATTAAAAAAAAAAAAAACTGAGAAGTCTGAAGCTAGTTTCATCTTTTTTCTTTTTAATTTCTTTTGGGTTTGTTTTTTTTTTCTTGTGTGCATGTGTTTTGGTTTTTACTGAGTTTTTTAGGACAGAGTGTGTTTCAAACAATTTGCAAGATACCAACCATAAGAATTTGATTAGTGGATCTGCTTTTTCTTTCCCTTCTTCCTAACAGTATATAAAAGTTGTATTTTAACATTTCATATAAGTATATATGTTTGTAGTGTTAAATTGTTTTGTGCTTTGTTTGTTATTGGGTTTTTTCCCCCACTTAAACAATGGCTTCTGTTATTTTTTCAGGTGTCCAAAGATCTTCCAGAGAAACAAAAAGAAATAGAGATTCTGCTAAAGGATTTCGTTGAACTTGATAAACAACTAAATCAGGTGATATTGTGGGTAACGCCTGTCAAGAACCAGCTGGAGCTTTATAACAGAGAGGGTCAGCCAGGAGCCTTTGATATTAAGGTAAATTTTCTTCCATTTTATAAAAGCATTGGAATCTTAAGTGGTCAGAAACTAAGTTGCAGCATCATCTGCGTAGTTGCAGCATCAGCTGTGTAGTTTTTATTAATAATGTAACTGAGACAGAAGTGAGCAATGGTCCGCAGAAGTTCAAAGCTTTATGAATTAAGGAGAACTTAATTTTTTTTCCATTAAATGGTTTCTAGTGAGAGGGCAGATTAGAACCAATGGTTCCAAGATATAATATAAATATAATTTATTTTTCCTGCCGTATTTTACATGAAACAATAGCCCCAAAAGTTGATATATCAAATCATAATACAAAGCAAACTAAAATTCAGAATATCACTGTTGGACCATTTAAGCTATTTCATTAAAGCTGATATGACTACATGAAAATCAGAGTATTTAGGATCATATCATGGTTCTCATATTTCTGTCAGTGTTCTTCATACTCTTACTGAGCCTGCAAGGTAATGTTCTTCAGCTGCCTCCTCAGCCATTAAGTCCTCTCCTGTCTCTTTTGTTTTCAAAGTCATTTTTTGGGGAAAAGAGTTCCAAAACTGACATGTGTGGCAAAGATTTAGAGTAAATAAATTTTAAGTATTGTAAGGATATTCATTTCTAAAAGTCACAAAATATTGATTGTTACAAAATGTTCTGACCTCAGAAACAGGTGAATATAAATGACGAGAAGAACATGTGGGGTTGGATAGGTAGAAGAGAAAAAAGATGGAAATATGTGTTTGCTTTAAATAGATGCCTAGGGTGTCTTTAGCTAGCTAGCAAAATTATATTAAAGTAATATGCCTATTTTAAAGCAAGTGTCTTGCCTTTTTTCTTACCTTTAGGTAATTCCAATTACAGAAATGTGTGATAGCTGAAATTAAACTAAAGTGCATCTAAAATACCAATTAAAATTATTCTGACAGAATTTTCCAAAATACAGTGATTTATTTCTCTGAAAACCATAGCAACCTTTGCTTCTGGCATGCAGCTATAATCTGATAACTATCATTGCAGTTTCCTCCATAAATCAAGGGGTATAATAAATGCAGTTCCTTATCAGATAATCTGATTTTACCTTTTAAATAATATTGATCTCTATAATATTTGCATAGAAAGTATGTAAAGGAGAATATCTGTGAATTTCACTTGCACAATTCACAGTTATAGCTTACAATTTATGTGAATTAATAGTAATTTAAAAGCTCATACTTTTTTCCCACCTCTGTGAAAATCAGCTATTAAAAATAGGTGAGAAGTCCCTTAAATTTACTTGGAAAAAAAATTAAATAATTAAATCACCATCAGGGTTAACCTTTAATGGTGGCACAGAAGTAATTCTATGAGAGTCACAAAGGTGGAACCAAAGGCAAAATTATTACATATTGTTCCAGACAACTTTACAAAAAGTAAGATATTTAAGACAATACATATTTGATGACAGAGCATTTAAAATCCATCCTATGGATCTTAAAACTATGACTCTGTTTGAAAAGTGTTCAGGACCATTGTTTGGCCTAGAGGTCAGCTGGTGCAGCACAATTTACATCTTTCCAGCAACAGTCTTAACCCCCAAAAGAAGACAGTTGCATCCAAAGTGCCTGTTGCTGCCAATCCCTGTCCATGCCTGGGCACTGCCTCAGACTGTGCAGTTTGTCCCATGATGGAATCAATGCTCCCAGTTTAATGGTGTGGGCAGTCATGCTGAAGAACTTGACTTGTATGTCCTCTCCCTTTTTAGTTCATTACCCCTGGCACCACATAAAAATTCAGGGAAGGCTGCAAACGAGTTACATGAAAATGAGAGGTTCAGTGTCATTGGCATAGTTCATTTGCTGTGTCATTTGACTTAGTCATGCTCTCAGATCAGAGAGCTCTCTGGATCTGTATGAACTCAACCCAGGGTGCTGACTGTGACCTTCCATGTAGCATGAGGTTATGAACATGATAACATTTGCTCTTGGGATAGCAAGACCACTAATAATGTTAAATTCTTTAATTTAGCAGTTTTTCAGTTCCTGAGGAATGGTCTCTTATGCCTCTGCCCTCATCATATCCTTGCAATACTGAATCCAGACTGGAACAACCAGTGACTGTGATTGTGTCCCACCAAAGCTCTGCAGCCTACCTACGTCCTGGATTTCAAAATCCCATTAGCACAGCATGTTCTTGCCCAGCATGATGCAATCACTTATTTAAGAAAAGGATCTCTTTCTGTTCCCTCTCGTTTATTAACCCTTTACTACAGAGGTATTTGCAAGTGAGTAATTACACAGCATCATATCAGCCTCCTCTAGTCCTACAGAATGGTTCCAGATGCTTAATATCAGTTGTTTCCTAGACTTGTACCTTTGGTACAAAAGTACATAATAGGAGAGGCTCTTTTCTAGTTCACTGTAATGCAATTAGGAAATAGAAGAATATAAGAAACAGACATGAAGAGACTGGACAAGTCCAACGTGTTCTTTGGTGCCCCTTTTGAGAAAGACTTTGTGGTGACCAAGGAACATACTGGGCCACTTTGTAGTCCTACAATCCCTGGAACATTTTGTGTCATTTGAGGCTTTGGGCAGCATCTTAACTTCTAAAGTATGTACATATGTCAGTTTAAAAAGCAGCAAAAATTTTAAGAAAAATATGAACACTATGAAATTGTCAAAACAAACTTTTTAAAGTTATTTCATCCTAAAAAAGCATATTGTACTTTGCAACAGCATTTAATAATATACTTTCCCCTCTGAATCAAAATTTTTGTTTTCTTTGAACCCATTCTGCTGTTGTAACTCTATGCCTACTTCAAATAATTACAGTATGGCTCAGGAAACTCTAACATATTTTATGCCAATATGATTTGTCTTCATAATTTTCTTGACCATAATGCAGTGCCACAATTAGAACCCAGACCTTCAGTTAAACATGGTAATTTTTACCAGTGGTGTCAAAAATCACACTTGAGCCATAATAACTAATTTCTCAAAAAAGGTGGACAAAGAATTTTTCATTCTCAGGATTTAGAAAGCATCTGTACCAGTATTTTTTTCAGTCATGATATTATTCCTAATTACAGTTTTCTTCCATTAAAAAAAAAAAAAAAAGTTTTAAGAAACTATCAAATCTACATTGAAATGCAGATTTGCAAGCTAAAAATTTCAACTATTAGGATGGATCTTAGTTTTTTGCAAGTGCTGAATATTTTCTGTACCACATTGACATAATTTTCATTGCATATAATAGCATCGTATAGACTGTGCCTGTGAAATACTTATGTATATGCATGGAGAAGGCATGAAATCTACATCTCTAAGAGTGTCTTGACTCCTCTGCTTGAATACTGGAGCTACTTGTGAACACTGGAACTCTTCCAGATTTGCAGTGTACCAGCTTCTCATGCATTTAGAATATATTTCATTTTGTGTCTTTTACAACTCTGTTTTTCCAAGCTTAGCAGTATGACTCTGTCTGCATTCGTTCTTTGACCCGGATTTACCCTCATTCTGGTAGCTATTTTGCATGATTTACTATTCATACTTCACAAATTTAGATGATATCATTGTGAATTTCCAATTTTACAAAATGGTGCAAAGAAAATAGTACAAAAGTTGTCTACATTATAGCGTAGAAAAAGACTGAAGTATTTAACAGTACAGCTTTGTTTACAATACAGCTTCTGCCAGCACTGGTGTCTAAGCTGGGGGTGTTATAGTCATAGTCACTGGGTACAGCCATGGCAGGAGACACCTTCAGCACTTGCATGCTGAAGTTCAGCTCTTACTATGTGCTTGTTTTTTATGTGCTGGTTCTTTTTTCTCAATAATTTCTCTCAGTACTCTGACTATGTGAAGCCCATTTTCCTGGTCCTGTTTATGTTGAACAATTTTATTTTTCTTAGCCGGTTTTCTTTCTTTGTCAGTAAAAACCAGCAGATAAAGATGTGCACGTTCTAATTCCTGAGCATTCAAATGTGTTTTGCTGATTGTATTGCCACAATCTTTATTCATATAAGTAAACCTTATTTACTTTATTTATTTAAGTAAAGCTTAGTCATATAATCTTTTCAACTGTGAAAGCAGTGATATCCTCTCAGTGCAAAGCTGAGGCCCTGCAGGATAACATGGGTGATATGAGATACTGTCTCCCAGTGAGGGAATTTTGACATAAGGAAGTTTTATTTAGCTTTTTCAGATCTACCTGGTTCCCGATCCTAACAGCACTGTCTTCACTTTTGCCTTGTCTTTTGGGCTCTCCGAGGGTAGCTTTACTTCTTTCAAGTTTGGCAGTTTCATAACATTTTGATATATATTTCCCAGGGTACTTTGGCAGGTTTTTTTGGGCCAGAAATGTATGGGGATGTGGATACCTACCTAACAGCAGGAGATACTAGATTATCAGCAGAGCAAGCTGTGTAGCAGTTACTGAGGTGTGGCCATGTGCAAACTTCTAATAGCATAGAAGCACTTTTCCTTTTATCCTAGACATCATTGACAAACATTCTACTAGGTATTCTTTTTGACTAAAATATAAAAAAGAGCCCTTAAAACAAGCCCACAAATACTGCTGGACTATTAAAATTTTATACGAAACCTGTATACAGAAACAGTCACACCTATTGCGTGATATACAGCAACCCTGCAGCTGAGTTTGAACAGACAACTATTTGTCATCTCTGAGGTGTGCATAGTATTAGTATAGTTGGTTATAAGGTCAGAAGATACTACTCTGGTCATCCAGTCAGACCTGCTTTATAAAGTAATTCTTTCACTTTTTTGGATTATTTTCTGTTTGAACAGCAGCACAGCACACCTTTCTCAAAAATACTACTACTACTAAAAAAAAAAAAGAAACAAAACAAAGCCAACAAACAAAAAACAAACAAAACCAAAACAACCAAGACTGGTTTTTAATTTCCATATATGAACAGTCATCCACATCTAGTGGTAAATTACTTCAGCAGCTGAGTTAAAAACCTGCATGTTTTTCCTCAACTGAGTTTTTTTAGC